GCCACTACTGAAAAATGAAGAAAAGAGCCCGGATTTGGTTTAATCCCCCACCAGCGAAAAAAAAAACAAACCCACAAAAATCCTGGACTTTTCACATGCCGGGTTTACTCGGGTGGGAGACCACCTGGGTGATTGCTCGACACCCTAGCTGGGTGGATGTCCTGAGTAGTCCAGGTAAATACAATGATGAGGAACATTTGTGGTGCAAAAGACTTGGATTCAGGATATGTTGGTGTAATGAAGTGAAGGATGGAGATGACATGACCATCTATCTAAGGGCATATATTCACGCATGGGCTATCTTGACCGGATCTGTGTGTAATTAAGTCAGTGTATGAACATGAAAGTCCTAGTCTGAATACGTGCGTGATAAAAACAATGTATGCCAACTCCTGAACGGGAAAAATCTTCTTCTAGATAAGCTTTCTCTTGCCAAGGCTGCTTCCTTCAGTGTGAAGAGATGCCTCACACGAAAAACCTCTTCTCTTCCTAAGGCTGCCTACTTCAGTGTGAAGATCTGCATGCCGTAAAGTCGATAAATGACGAATAGTAAGCACTGATGCATTAACAGAAGAGTTCCATCATGGATGAAGTTGTGGGGTGATTCTCCACCATCACTGTCGATGTTTGTGTTGTTGGGTTGGCTTTTGCATCCAACTGTTCTGTGTTGGTGCTGTGCTGGCAATCCACCTGTATAGATGCCTCTTGACTGGCTGTTGCCATGAGGGGGCAAATTGTGCGCACAACGTGCAAAAGTTATTTGCATGGTCCTTGGTAATCGTAGCTGCAGTTTCGCATATAGAAAAGGAGGGGAGGATGGATAGATAGCTAGGCAGATTAGATAGATAGATAGATTAGATAGATAGATAGATAGATAGATAGATAGATAGATAGATAGATTAGATTGGATTAGATAGACAGATAGATAGGTAGATAGATAGGTAGATAGATTAGGTTAATTAGATTGGATTAGACAGATAGACAGGTAGATAGATAGACAGAGAGATAGACAGACAGATAGACAGACAGATAGACAGACAGATGGACAGACGAATGGATGGATGGACGGAGAGACGGAGGGACAGACGGACGGATGGATGGATGGATGGATGGATGGGACGGATGGATGGGACGGATGGATGGGACGGACAGACGAACTGAGTAGCTGTTAGATAGATAGATAGATAAGGAACGGAGGGACAGACATACAGACAGCAGACAGAGCTAGCTGATAGATAGATAGATAGATAGATAGATAGATAGATAGATAGATAGATAGATAGACAGATAGACAGACACACAGACAGACAGATAGACTGTTACATGCAGCACCTGCAAACGAGGTCCATTTTCAGGCCCTGTGTCGTTCAGCCTAAAAGCCTGAAAACAAGGGCCTACTGGCCCTGTGTCGTTTCAGCCTGAAAGCCTGAAAACAAGGGCCTACAGGCCCTGTGTCGTTTCAGCCAAAAAAAGGGCCCTCCAGGCCCTGAGTCTTTTCAGCCTGAAACGGAGGGCCATTTTCAGGCCCTCATGAGATCGACCTGCCCTGAAACTTAGGCACCAGACCAGGGTTTTAGCACAGGCCATTTTGGTCTTGTTTTCAAGACAAACCTTTGTTGAACTTCAACGCCAGGGTCTGGCACGTTTTGGCATTGGCAAGAGCAGCCTCCTGGACGGGCCAGCACTATATAAGACTGGCCCGCCCTGCAGGCTGCAGGTAGTTCATAGGGACATCCCAGGCACTTCACGTGCAGGAGGCAGGAGGCAGTCTTCAGGATTCGGCAGCAGCACTCTGGAGGAGCGCTGCAGTAGTAGTAGTAGCGTTAGGAGTAGCCTTCAGCGCTGGGACCTAGTAGGAGCTAGAGTAGCGTTGGAGAGAGAGAGAGGGTTGGCGGAGGCCAGGGAGACTGACCTGCAGCGCCATAGCTCCAGCTTCGTCTTCGATGTACCTGCAACCAGGCGCCACCTTCACAGGTTATTACCAGACACACACACACAGAGAGAGAGAGAGAGAGAGAGAGTTCTTCTTGTTCCTCTTCTAAGTCCACCATCTCTCCCTCACCCTCTTGCTACCTAACTTCTCAGTATCTGCGACTACGCGCGCGCGCGTGTGTGTGTGTGTGTG